CTCGAGTACCATTCAGCACCTACAGTTGTAGTCTCCCGTTATTTACTTGAGCCATTTTTTTTTTCGCGTAGAGAGCTCTCAAGAAATGGAATCTCCAACTTACAGGAATCCACCTTTGCAGATTTAAGAAACCTACAAACTCTGTAAGTTGTACGATAAATTGATTTTTTTTACCATTTTTTATGTTTGTATAATTCATTTCTAACTGATGATCCAGCACGCATTTTATGTTCGGCTAAGCAAAGCCTGGTTAAAGCTCCAGTGAGAAGAATGGCAGTAATAATTTCTGCTTTACTGCTCTCCTGCTATGACGCTCTTTATAACAACTTGCCTAATGATGCAACATATAAATAGAAGATATTACACGGTGGCGCGAAGATATGAATTTTATTTTGGAGTGGCAAAACAATATTTTACGAACGAGCGCAGCGAGTTTGTAAAATTTTTGGTTTTGCCACGAGAAAATACAATTCACGTCTTCAAGTCGCCGTGTAATGTTCTTTTTATTATATAGACAAAAAGACATCGATAAGATAATAGAGGGAAATTACCGAAATTACGTCATCGATAAACTCGTGTGAGATTATGGAAAATAAACCACTCGGGTCCCGGATGAAGTTTTTATGAATTTCACGAGTGCTCTATTTTTCAGTAAAAGACTCGTGTCTATATAATAATTCGGTATAATTTTTAACAATACTTTTAATCAAAGTGTCAAAGTTTTAGAAATTGGAATCGTGCTTTGATTGGAACCTTTTGTTAACAAACAAGAGGCAAAGGAAAGAATAGAATGATGCTTCTAAAAGTATCTGAATTAGTTCAGATACTGGTGGACAAGGAGAGTCATATAGAGTCAAGAGCAAAAACAGGTCTGCGCGCATTAGTTACGTTCCTGCACTGCGGTTGAGGAGGCACACAAAACTAAGCCTAATGGGCCCCGAGAGGCAGGATCAAGTTGGTGCCTATAGGTGAAGAATCAGAAGGAGTTAGCTTGATCAAATTTCGTGTTACTCTTCCATCAGTGTGTTTTAGTAACTTTCAAAGTAACAAGCTCTTGAAGCTACAACAACCCATCTTCAAGGATTTAAAAAACCTAAAAAGACTGTAAGTATGGACTGGATACTATTTGTTACAGTGGAACCTCGATTAAACGAACCGCTATTTAACGCAGTCGTCGGTAAAACGAACGATTTTCTTTACCCCAATAATGAATGAATACTTTGTTCTTGCAGCTTTCAAACAAACGAAAGGAAAGCCAATTCGTCTTGCGGCGATATCTATGTTGCTTTCTGTTAAGGGGCAATTAAAGTCACCAAGATATAGTGTTACATTTAAATACATTGGCTTTGTTGTTATCATGGAAAATCACCTTAGCTATTCATTCAATTTGTAGGGACCTCTCATATAATCAAATCTCTGAGTTACCGAGGAACATTTTTGCTGACTTAAAAGGCCTGGAACATCTGTAAGATATAATTCTTTTGTTTTTTTCCTTACATTGGCTTGTCTTTTCTCAAATTCTAAATCAGATTATTTTTATTTTCTTTAGCTAGGATTGGACTAATAATTTAACTTTAAATAACCCCCCGGTTCAGGTTACCATTACCATCTACAGAGTCACTAAGATGTTTAAATTTGTGTAGAACTGACAGCCAGGGTTATCCCTGGATAAATAAAGAACTCTAGTTCAACTTCACTGCTGTACTGGCACTGGAATGAATACTATAAAACAGGTAGCTCTATGCTTCCGTTGAGTTTTCAAATTTTGGAAACACTTCGGTTTGCCTTTTGTTCATAATCGATTCTTACTGTTATAACGCGTTGTTTAGAGACCTTTCTCACAACCGGATAACAATGCCTCATTCAGAAGTTTTCAGAGAATTGGAGAGTCTCAAATACTTGTAAGTTTTAATTTGATATTTGTTTTTATCGTATATTAAAACAGTAGATAGTGTTTTTCGCGCACTCTGATTGGCTACTCAAAGGTAGGATATCCAGTGCAGTTGACTGATTCACCTCCAGCTCCTCCGAGCGAGCGACGCGAATGCAAACTCGCGTAAGTTACGACCAAAATGGTTTCCCGGTTTGCTGCCCTAACAAACAAAGAAATATCACAAATAATCATCACAAGCTGTTCCCGGAATACACAACGAAGATGACTAAATTCGGTTTGGAAGCTTCAACAGGTAAACGTTTGTCTGTTTGACTTGAATTTACCGATAAAACCGTGAAAAAGTTTTTTGTTTCATTACAAATACAAACTAGGTCTTGCGTAAAATAAATAAGCTTAAAACTACATTAAATAGTTTTTTTTACAGAATGGCCTCAAATACAAAACGAATTCATAACTTTTGAAGAGATTTCTCCACATTAGCTAAAAGAATGCCTTCAAAAGTTTTATTTGTCAGCAAGAAAACGCGACGGCCATTCGATCATTTGCGCGCCAAAATTGTCTGAATTGTTGGCAACATTAAGTGAGTAAAAAACTATCTTTTTTGTGCTCAATTATCTCAATGTTTTAGAGTTTACTAAAACAATTATTCACCTCAGTGTCGGTGGCTAGTGGTGTGTATATACCTTGCCGCTTATCGGCTCGCAAATCACACCACTAGCCACCTGCACCTCGGTAAATAATTGTTATTTATTACAATGATACGTTTTTTTTCGCTTTAACAAAGGTGCATGTTACAATGACCACAAAGTTAAACAACAAGCCTCGAACATACATTAAAATACACTATCACGGAGGATGTTTCCTCATGTACATACGCAAAAGTTATGACTAGACTAACCAGTGCAGTTTTTCGCGGTAAGGAAGCGCAGTCACTCGGGGTAAAATGAAATAAAAAAACCCCTTGCATGGAAATATTTTAATCTCAGCCGTCACTGATAACTCGCAAGGTGTCAACTAATATACCTACATTTTTAATGCATGGGCGGATTAAGGATTTGGCTGAGGGGGCCGCGAAATTTTTCTGCGAGATTTCGTATAATTTTTAAATAATCCTCAGTAATTTAAGCAGTATCCGTACAGCTGTCAAATCCCCCCACCCCCGTCCCCCGCCGCATTTTTGAATTGCAATTAGCCTACCAGTATCGTAGCTTCAAGCGCTGAATGTGTTGGTCAATGTTTGTAATATCCAAACAGAACATGCAATTCCTTAATACGCACCGACAAGGTGATAGCACTCAGAACGCCAGCCTTTAAATTCTTTCATTGTCCCTATATACTTTTTATAAGGTTTCTAAACAATAACAAGATCAACCAGCTTTATGCTGATATATTTCATGGGCTCCAAAGCCAGGAAAGATTGTAAGTACAATTTAGCTTTATGAGACATTGATAGAGAATGGAATTGTAGTAATGTAGTTTTAATACAGTAATAAAAAAGCTGTCTCTAAGGAACCAAGTACTAAAAACACTAAAAAAAGTAAATCTCAACATTCTCGAAAAAATTGCACGTTTGCCCTTTGACGCAATGTTCCCGCTAAGTACAACTTTTGTCATGTGATCCCAAGGTAACCAATGAGAGTGCTTCCGTTGGGACAAAATTTCAGCAATACAAAAATAGCGTGTAATCTTAATTTTTATTAAAACGGAATCAGTGGATAATGCAATTCTAGAGCTCTGATTGGCTTAGCAACCATGGTATATGAGCCATCATACCATGCTCTCCAAATATGACAACTGTACCCGTTGCTTTTACAAATAAAGTCGGGAAGAATTCTCGATATTTTGTGGGCGTTTTTAATGAAACAATTATTCCACTCGCACTTGTTGGATATGAGATGATTATAGCCAACTCGGCGCTATGCACCTCGTTGGCTCGCTACCATCTCATTTCCAACGCCCACTCGTGGAATAATTGTTAAATAGCGTGCGTCAGTAGCAGGCGCTTCGAAGTTATATGCGAAAAAGAACGAGGCGCGTAAGGGAGACTCGCGCGCCACTTTCTTTATCAGTTGACACTATTACTATTACAATCCCTTGATACGCAGGCTAGTAACATTACATAAATAGTTAAACTTTTGAACGCGTACATTGGCTAAAAAAAGGAAGTTAAAAAATTTTTCCCACGGAGTCGCCAGAACAATGCTTATGTTTATGTAATGCTAAGACCTGGCCTCATAACCAAATGAACAAAAATGAAAATGAAATCGCTAGATATTACAATGAAGCCGAATATTCTCTCTAAAATCATACGTCACTGTTGCGGTTCACCGCTATAGTTTAATGACTAAATTAGAAGACAAGTCAAGACAAAAGTGATTTAAGGTCTTCTGATAACTTATATTGCTACTCAAGTGTTGTTTTATAAGTATATATTTCTTGTAGGTATCTGCGGGGAAACTTGCTTAAAGCGCTGCCTTTAGAGGTATTCGCAGGCCTCCGGAATCTTAAGTATTTGTGAGTATTTTCTTCTACCTTGCATGAAAGATGCGTTACAGATTAAATTCCCCCGAAAATTTTGCCGAAAAAATCCTGAAAGGCGTCAGGTTAGTAGTATGAGATCTAGCAACAATGACAATTTTTTTTGCAACTGTTCATTATTACTATTATTATTATTGTTATTTTACGAACTTTTTAAAGAAATAGGAATTTATTCTTTTTTTATCTTGTTTTCTTTTTAATATCAAAGACGGACAATTCTCTTTTGTAATGACTTAATTTAAGAACTCTGGACTGCCTGTAAGAGTTATTGACTTCATCTGAGCCGCAAGGAATGTATTTGGGAAATCGTTACTGAGACAGAAATTTTTTCTTTTTTATGATTTATATAATGCTTAATATTATATAGTGCTTAATTCTTACCTAAAATATTCTGTAAATTATGTACATATTTTTCGAGTTGAATAAAATTATTATTATTATTATTATTATTATTATATTTATTATTATTATTATTATTAATAACTTGCAGAGTATTTTATAACGTTAAAAAAAACGTTATTTTGGTCTCGTACATCATTTTTTTGCCATATTAGTAAGCTATCCGACTATTATTACGAACTTAAGGAAGTTAGACAGCTTCTCCTTGTGCTGTTATGCTACTAGAGTTCTCAAGCACGTGGACTGCGAATACCCATTGTCGGCGCAAGACTCACTTTCAAGTTGCAATCGCATGATTGAGGACTCAGGCCCTAGAAAGATAATTTGGTTGCTCGGTGTTCTTACTGTGCTCGGTAACCTGGCTGTAATAGCCTGGCGTCTAATTAGGCGCGATGACCACCCGGTTCAGACCTGCCTTCTGACGAATCTCGCGGTGTCCGACTTTCTCATGGGAGTGTACCTTATGATTGTTGCCATTCAAGACCAAATATGGGCAGGTATGGATTTCGGTCACCAGTGTTTCGGTGGGAGTAATACAACTTATTATTTTTTTCTATTTTACTGACAGAGCATTTATCATAAGCTTGGCTAGTTTTATAAGTAGGAGATTTCGAATCAAAATGATGAAACAGTACGTAACCCTTTTAAGGGTTTTTAAGGTCATTTTTAAATGACCTTAAAAATTAATTTGACGAGATCACACTGAATCGAGCCTTATAAATTTGAGGTCACATTAAACTAAAGCTTGCACACAGGCCCGGTACAAGACATATACCTTCCAATAGCCTGTTCCAGGCGAGTGGAGGCACGCGCAAATATGAGCTCATGATCTGGAAAAACGGGGCGGTCGCAGTTTGTTCCCTTTTTTTTTTTCGTGTTCGCATTCCCAATTTCGCGGGCCCGACTATCACGGCGCTTCGAACACTCAGGCTAAACTTCGACCAGTTGTCAATTTAATTAAACTGTTATTAGAATTTTGAAATCAATCCTGTGACGTCATTTTCCCGCAAAAAACCGTTAAAATCAAAAAAGTAAAACCAACAAAACATGCGCAATAAAAAGTTGTACCATCCTGCAAAGTTTCAGATCAAACGGATAAAAATTGTAAGATAATTCTTTCCTGGTCATTTTTGATGTTTTTTTTTTCAAGAGTGCAAAGTGCAAGTGTTGTTATCGATTTCAGACTCTAAACATGTACACTCGTAAATTTTTCTTTAAATTGACCCCAGCCTTAGCTACTATAATACATATCGTGACTTACCATTGAATTATTTTAAATAATAGTGTGACTTGGAAGACATTTTTCGGGTAGAGCATATATTAGAGTGCACAGACAAGTGAGTGTTATAATAATACTGAAACAGTGCTTCATTTCCAGGTGCTTACTTTAACTTCGACCTCACTTGGCGATCAGGAACACTTTGTAAACTTGCTGGTGCTTTATCAGTGCTGTCAAGCGAAGTAGACAAGTGAGTGTTATAATAATACTGAAACAGTGCTTCATTTCCAGGTGCTTACTTTAACTTCGACCTCACTTGGCGATCAGGAACACTTTGTAAACTTGCTGGTGCTTTATCAGTGCTGTCAAGCGAAGTTTCGGTACTAATGCTGACTGTTATAACCGCTGGCAGATTGATCAGCATCGTCTTTACATTCAGCTGTCGCCGACTGACGCTAGAGGGAACTTACATTATTTGCGTAGCCGTCTGGGTCATCGGAACCATCATTGCCGTCGTTCCAACAAATGATCTCCCATATTTTTACAACGAGGACAGACAATATGGATTTTACGGTATATTCGCTTTTCAAATGAAACTCCGCCCTCTTAATTTAATTTCTCCATACTGTCTGGCTCTTTTAATCTAATGGATTAAAACGTCGTGATCAGTCTACTGAAGGATAGTGATGTCGAGCAAAGTTTCGGTTATTTTTTTGGAGAATCTTAGTAAAATGCTTTACAGAAGATTGTCGTGGCAACAGAATATTGAGCTCTGTGACTTTTTGGGTGAACTGTCATCGCCATCTTCATCATCATTATTATCATCATTATCATCGTCATCATCATCATCATCATCATCATCATCATCAGGGTTATTTAGTTCTTGTTTTTCCTCTCTACTTATCTTGATTAGTCTGTCACATTATCTGATATTAAGGACCAACTAAAATACTCAATTCGTTTTTTTTTTAAGGGCGTTCTTCAGTTTGTCTCCCTCTCCAACTGTCCTCAGAAAGGCTGGCCGGCTGGGAGTATTCAGTTGCCATATTTATCGCTTTGAATCTCACAGCTTTCATTTTCATCATGACAGCCTACATAGCCATTATCTTTAAGGTGTTTAAGTCACAGCAGAGAGTCAATGCACATGGAGAATCAAAAACCAAAAACAGCCTCAACAGAGAGTCGGCCCTCGCTCGGAGAGTGTTCGCTATCATGTTAACTGACTTCAGTTGCTGGATTCCTGTCATAATTTTGAGTATTCTTGCCCTCGTTGGGAAGTTCAATGATCCAGACGGAACGGCTTACGTTTGGTTTGCTGCGTTTGTCCTGCCGGTTAATTCATCAGTTAATCCAGTGCTCTACACGTTTTCTACACCGAAGGTGAGAGCGCAAGTGGGGAAACCAATGAAGGCGTAAAAATGACTACAGTTTTCGATATTTATATCGTTTAGCTCTTGAAACGAGCTGTAGCTGCATGCCATAAAGAACGATCTACAATCCTGGTCATAACTTCTTGAAACACTTTCGGAAAACACAAGAAAAACTAAGTTGTTCCACGAATACATGTACATGTAACGCTTCCCTCTCCTTCCGTCCATGTTAAGGTGTTAGGAGGCGGAGAAATCAGCAAGTGTTTCAACAGTTATGACTGGGAATGCAGCTGTTTGTGGTGGGCAGATCTTTGGAGTAAAAAGGCAATTCCATTTAATTTCATCGGGGAGGGAAGGTAGGATCAGAGAAAGGAGCCGATTTCCTGGTTGTAACTGAGTCTTCCCACCCTTTCCCTATGAAACTTTCTGGACCATTTAGAGCTAGAGTAGCACACACTTAACACAGATGTCTTAACCGGGGAACGTTACCGGGAATGGAAGTTAAATGGAAAAACGTTTGAGGTCTGAAAACTCTCGGGAGTGATCGTCGGCGCTATTGGCCACCATAATTTTACTCGGCCGCGAAGCCTTTTTAACGGAAACATGCTCAATATTCTAAGAAAAAGATACTTACTTTAACTGATTATCTTCTCCACCCTCGCCGATACATGTTTCCACTTAACGTTAAATGAAATCCCAGTGAATAATCATAATGTGTGAACGTTTGACTGCAGTGGATGGTGACTAGTGCAGGGTTATGCTGTCTACAATTGCTCTCTTACGCACCTCCCTCCTCGTCCAATATTTACCGGAATTGAGAACATAAACTAATCGATTCGATGCAGGGGGGAAGGTGTCTTCAGTGAAATCTATGGCACAGTCCGCCTGCCAGTATGACGTCACGTCTCGCGTCAGTAACTTTCAAAATGGCGAGCAAAGTGTTCATCGAAGAGATGGATTTCCGATTTCTGGGATTTGGAGGTTTTAAGGTTTCTATTGTCATAGAAAACTAGACTTAAGTACTTTTTTGGAATGAAATGACCTTGATGACCTTGCCGGTCCCGTGAAATAGATCGCGATCCCGCAACACGGCCCGCAAAACAAATTAACAAAATTATACAATCACGGACACAAAATATCAATACGGTTTACAGAAGCAGATTATAGCAACACCAAACCTCACACACATTCGATCAAATAAGCGACATATAGCGAAATTGCTAGCTTCTTAGCTTTTCCTTGACCTCGCTCGTCCAAATAAATGTCGTTTCCCTTGCAAATTTGTACAAGCGACCCGAGGTTCTTGCCGGTTACTATGTGACGTCATAGTGACAGGCGGAGTGGGTCAAGAAACTTAGGTGGAAAACAATAGAGTTGCCTTCCCCCCCCCCCCCACCTCCCCCTTTTTTTATATTTAAAACTTGCCTTTTATATATTTTTTTCAAAGCAGCAACAAAAGAGGAACTGTTATCCCTTTTTTTTATTTTACCAATTTCCATATATTCTAATATCTTAGTTACAACTAAAGAGAAA